GGCCCCCACGACAAATAGAAGAGTTAGATAATTTACTAGTTGAGGAAATAGCTAAAATGCCAATAAGGGGTAAGTTATCATCATGGGTGACTTTAATCTTCCTGATGTGAATTGGAAAACCAAAATAGCTGCTTGTGCCAGGAGCACACATATTCTAAACTCCCTACTGGGATTGTCTCTAAAACAAGTAATTGAGAAGCCAACTCGTAAGGAGGCCATACTGACAGATATCAGTGTTACAAAGTAACTTGCATTCATTTTGAAAAAAATGGTTTGGAAATAGAATAATAAAAGTTCTACTTGTACTTATAGCCCTACAACTTTCCAAAAAAAGCTAAGATCATGTTAACATTGGGTATTTCTGGGTATTGGGTATTTCTAAACTCAGGACAAAATTTACAATCTATGGGTGTTTTTTGGCGGTTGTAGATGCGTAACAGATCTTTGGGGTCAAAGTTAGAAAAAGTGTGTTTTTTTTACATTTTTAATCCATATTTTATAATTTTATTCATAGTAAATTATATGATATGATGAAAATAATGGTATCTTTAGAAATACCATTTAATGGCGAGAAAAAATGTATATAATATAAGACGAAAAGCTACCTTTTCTTAATTGTGCAATTTCAATTTTATCTTCGGTTGTAATTGTTCTGTGTTTTTTTTTACATTTTTAATCCATATTTTATAATTTTATTCATAGTAAATTATATGATATGATGAAAATAATGGTATCTTTAGAAATACCATTTAATGGCGAGAAAAAATGTATATAATATAAGACGAAAAGCCCTTTTCTTAATTGTGCAATTTCAATTTATTTCAATTGTTCTGTCCCTAATTTGCTATTCTAATAAAAATGAATGACTCCGAAACAAATTGGGTTTTGGATCAACTAATTCTGAATTCATTTGTTTTTGGTTAATTTTGTTGTGTCGCACATGTTTAGTTGCTGGTGATTATACCAGCATTATGTATAGGGTGAATGTGAATATATACCTGTGGCGATAGAGCTTGTTTTATTTTTACATTTTAAGATCATTGAGAGCAGCTTTTGCTACTGTTTCAAGTATCACTGACTCATATGCTAAGCCATTTGCATCTGTTTAGGCTTTATAAGTATTATATTCATTTGTTATATTGATATAATTGACAGTTAATAAGTTAATAATTAAACAGACTTTAAAATAACACCTTTTGTGGCTGTGAAACTATTTAGCATCTAAAAAGTACATTGCGGAGACCTTGTCAAACTTTATTAGCTTAAAACTGGGTTACAAAGTTATGGGAAAAGGATGAGACTTTTCCTTTGTTTGCAAATGGTAAACTGTAGAATCCCTGACAGATCAGTAAATGATTAAAGAGGTGTACTTGGTAATGGACCGCTCTGCGTTTCATAGCTGACAACATTTAAGCCTTCTGTTTTAGTAAAAGAGGAGAGACTCGTGATCATCTTGATAAGAACAGATTATCTCCCAAATCCTTTGTCCTATTTAGCACATAAAGAAAAAAAAAATGTTTGAAATCTCAGTAAATCGTTTCCCTGGAGAGGTTCATAATGTTAAATAAGGTTAATAGAGTTATAGAAGGAAGTAAATCTACGGGAAAATATTTTATTCTCAGAATGAGGATATACGTCCATGAGCACCCAGCTGCAACTCTAATTATTCTCCATTCAATTGTTATTTATTCTTCGTGGTAGAGGTTAATGTTTTGGTTATTACTAATTGATTTTGTTCAAAATTTTTCAAAATTTTCCTGTTCAAAGAATCCTGTTTTGAAAATATTTGGTTCGGATCTGAGCTTTACCAAAAGTTACCAAAGAAGCTCTAAAATTAAGGAAAAAATATACCACTAACTATAGTGTCCCTTTAACAAAACTCAGCACCTCAAATTGTGCTCAACAACTTAAGCATGCCACCAAACCCGAATTCAAACTAAACCAAAACAGCTCACCTTCCGCTATTTGGTTGATTCGTTATATAGGATACATTTGTTTTGGAAGTTCAGCCAAAGTGAATCTCCAAGTCTAATTAAATGCAATTATAACCTGCAAACACTATGTACAGATGTACAGGATATGTGGTGGCCTTATATTAATTCCCAAGATAGCGATTAGGGCAGCCATTTTCTATGGAACACAAAACCTAAAATGTTTAAGTCTAAAATCAGATATCCTTAACCATAAAGTCTTTAATCCTAAAATCCTTAATTCTAAAATCCTTGAATTTTAAATCACTTATTTAAACTTCAACCATTAAAATCACTAACCGTAACCCTAAAATAGTAATTAAAA